AAGGCACGGTACGTTGCTCGTGGCTTCAGTCAGCGGCAGGGAGTTGACTACTTTCAGACCTTCTCTCCCACCCCGAAGATGACTACTCTTCGGGTGCTGCTGCACATAGCCGCTCAGCGCGACTACGAGCTTCACTCTCTCGACTTCAGCACTGCGTTCTTGCAGGGTAGCCTGCACGAGGAGATCTGGCTTCGCCGTCCACCTGGCTTCACTGGGACTTTCCCTCCTGGCACCCAGTGGAGCCTCCGACGGCCAGTCTACGGTCTCCGCCAGGCACCGCGTGAGTGGCACGACACACTGAGGACTACGCTTGCGGCTCTTGGGTTTGCTCCTTCTACTGCTGACCCGTCGCTGTTTCTTCGCACCGACACTTCCCTGCCGCCGTTCTACATCCTCGTGTACGTCGACGGCTTGGTCTTTGCCACAGCGGACACTGCTGGACTCGCCTACGTGAAGTCCGAGCTGCTGAAGAGACACACGTGCACAGACCTGGGTGAACTGCGCAGCTACCTTGGCTTGCAGATCACTCGGGACAGAGCACGCCGCACCATTACCTTGACTCAGTCACACATGGTGCAGCAGGTCCTTCAGCGCTTCGGCTTCACGTACTCCTCGCCTCAGGCCACTCCTCTGCCTACTCGCCACTCACTCTCAGCTCTGCCTTCGGATGAGTCCGTAGAGTCGAGTGGTCCGTATGAAGAGCTTGTTGGCTGCCTCATGTACCTGATGACCTGCACACGACCTGACCTTGCATACCCTCTGAGCATTCTTGCACGCTATGTTGCTCCTGGGAGACACCGACCAGAGCACATGGCTGCAGCGAAGAGGGTATTGCGCTACCTGTGCAGTACGTCGGGCATGGGGCTAGTGCTTGGAGGGCGGAGTCCAGTGGTCCTTACAGGCCACGCGGACGCTTCTTGGGCTGACGACCAGGCTACGCAGCGGTCGTCACAGGGTTACACCTTCAGCCTTGGTTCCGGCTCTGTCTCGTGGCGGTCTACTCGCTCGTCTTCGGTTCTCGGCTCCAGTTGTGAGGCTGAGATCTACGCCGGGGCCATGGCTGCACAGGAGCTTCGCTGGCTCACCTACCTGCTGACTGACCTTGGAGAGCCGCCTCGTTCTCCTCCAGTGCTGTACGTAGACAACAAGGCCATGCTGGCCTTGTGTCGAGAGCAGCGCTTGGAGCACAGAACGAAGCACATTGCTCTCCGCTACTTCCTTGCTCGTGAGCTGCAGCAGCGTGGTCAGTTGCGACTTGCGTACGTGGCCTCTGAGGCCAACACTGCTGATGTGTTCACCAAGGCACTCGCGCCTTGTGACCATCAGCGCTTTTGCACCCAGCTGGGTCTTGTGCCTGTCTTACCTCACTTGCTCTCCTCTTGACTTCACTTGTACTGTGACATATATATATACCTGCTCTTGCTTGTCTAGTTTTATATATATGTCTGTACTCCTGCATGTGAACTGGCCTCTGGCCCTGCTCTTGTGCTCGGACTGTGTGGTGACTTTGTGATCCACCCTGAGCTTGCTTTGCTTTGCTTTGCTTGACTGGTCTTGTGACCCCTTGTTCTCCCCCACTTTGCCTATGGGGGTGTGTCAGAGTATTATAACTGATGCATGTTTGTAGGCTATAGTGGGGTAGCACATATGGGGTACAGCTTTCTAGGGTAGTATTTGTACCCAACTCTGACTTAGTCATTTCATTCCTGTTCATTCTTTTCACAGGTAATGCTCCGAGAAAAACAAATCCTGCGGGATCCTCTGGCATGGCCACTCGAGCAATTATCACCAAATTTGATGGCCACTCGAGTAATTCGAGGCCACGCGAGTAAGAATGAAGGGTAAGTAGCTTTGGCAGGGGTACTACTAGGGACCCTGCGCTTTGAAGGGGACTACAGTGCTAGCAGAGGGCACTTTCCACCCCTCCGTGCCTCAGACAGTAAAATTATAGAAACAGGACAGTACTCTTCCCCACATTCACCCACGTGTCACCAGTTTCCATGCCAACTACTGTACTAGACAACTGACCAACTGTGCGCAACTGTTTTCTGTCTCTTCTGCCAAATCGAATCCACTATCTGGGTGGCTCGGCTGCCACACTGTTCCGAAATCTGCAAGGCTACTGTTTCGCGCCCAAAATTCGAAACACAGGCCAGCAAGGCAGACGGAAACGGAGTAGCACTCCGTCAGATCTTTTGAGTCCCTTCGTCTCAAGTTATGTTGGCTCCTCCAGAGATTAGGGTTTGCGACAAGTCACAATGTAAAACTCCGTGATAAGTTACCTCGTAGGTTCCCGCTAGCAATCTTAAATCAGCATAGGCACCATGTGTTTTTCCCGAATATTTGGCTATACCATATCCTGCAGTAGGAGCATCACCTTCTCTCGGATAATGTTTTATTGGCTAGCAATCCAGGATATGCGTTCTGGATCTTTTGATATGTGCACCCTTCATTTATCTTCTCCGATCCTTGCGGTCGATGGTATGTTGGCTTAATTCTGATCCGCTTATCATATCCTCGTAGGCGACTTGCATAATCTGATTGTCCTCTAGGACTTTCCTTCCGCATGATTACTTGCGCCTGTTACGGACTCCTTGCATTGGTCTTTACAAAATGCTAAGCTTCAGTCACCTCGCACATGTGTTTCATCCACATTATTTAAGCGCTGCTTTTGAATATAATCCACCCTTTTCTTATCTATCCTTCACGTGTCTCTAATCTTCTTCTTTTTCCAGACCTTCATCACTCGCAAACTATTGTGTAGACAGAGACCATGTGTGCACAATGTTCAGAAGTTCCCTTTCAAGGTGATCTCACTGATGCAATGTATGGGATATGTCCTGTATTGCAGCACGTTCCTTGTTTGGGTTGCATCAAACTACTTACATATGATTCCATTACCTCTGCGATTATGTGTTCTTTAAACAGGGCATTTCTTGGACAACATACGGAGGAGATCAACATTTACCAAGGGAAAATCTATTCATCCGTAAGCGCTGCTAGAGTCGAGATAGAGAAATATGGTGATAAGTTCAACTTCAAGCCGTGGTATAAGGACAACAGGCCAGAACGCCTTGACGCGCGTTGCCCTTCTATGAAAGGAAAAGACTGGCCCAAGAATGAGGCCAAAGCACCAGAGGGGTTTTGTCCGTTTCGGATTGTAGCTACCGGGCCTCAAAATTGCAGCTTTAGTGTGAGATCTGTGGCGCTGCAGCATGCACACACGTATGTGCCACGCCCTGGTCGTATTAGGAGGGAACAGGTTAATCAAGTGGTGCGTGAAGTACATCCTCATACAGTCATTACTCCTAGTGGACTACGACACATGGTGCGGGAAAAGTTAGGCGTCGACTGCTGCAATGCTACGTGTGGCCGGTCAATTGATGATGTCACTCGAGAGGATCCTCTAGGTGGAGAGTCAGGTTTCCTGTACATTGGTAGCATCCTAGATGTTTTCAAGTGACATAACCCATCAAGCGTTGTGTCACTGATGCTGAATGAGAATAGGTTCCATCGTGCTGCAGTGATTTACCCTGGAGTCCGTGAGATAGTTAAAAATTGCTTTCCGATCGTATTTGTAGATGGATGTCACAACAAAGGTAAATGGCGAGGCCATACTTTGAATGCATGCATGATTGACTGCGAACATAAGTTGGTGAGGTTAGGGAGTGCGTGGGTAGAAGGCGAGAGTGCGGATTCGTGTGAGTATTTTCTGAGCCAGCTGAAGGTAGCTGTCCCTGAGATCAACACTCCGAGGTTTACATTGATGCATGATCGTGGGAAAGCATGGAAAGCGGCCGCTGCCAGAGTGCTGCCAGGGGCGCGTGAGGCATTTTGTATCACACACTTGGTGAGGAATTTTAATTCTAAGTTTGGTTCTGACTGTGATGGCAAGATCGAGCTCGCGGCTGCAGCATTGACCAGAGATGTGCTGCGGGGCTACATGGACAAAATCGAGGAAGAGTGCCCAGGGGGGAAGCAATACTTGGAGAGGGATGGATTAGCCACACATTGGGCTACCTTTCTGTTTAATGCGTCACGTTATGGGTGCTATACTTCAAACCCGGTGGAGTCGCATCATGCATCTATGCACAAGAAGAGGAGGGACAATCCAGCACAAGTTTTACTTGCATTCATCACACAGCAAGCAAATGCAATGCAAGAGGGTCGTGAGCTGTATGGGAATCTCGGGGTAGCTGATCTCCCCCCCAAAACAGCAGGTATCATTCGTGCTAATTGTCAAATGGGAACTCAGTACAAAGTGGAGAAGACTGGCAGAAGTTCATACCATGTGAGCCGTGACACTGGAGCCAAGGAGGAGCGTGTGGTGGTGTTGGAGGCTGCGAAGCCAGAGATGGCGCAGTGCACGTGTAATTATTCAAGGTGAGTTTTGTGTTTAGGCTTATCCTTGAAATACCTGTGGGAAACATTTTGCACCTGGTGTTAGGATTGTCGGTACATGCATAACCTTTATCTTCCTTTGGGCTTTCTCCTGATGTTTGTCCTTTGATGGAACTTGACATCCGTTTGACACCCATTTGATTTCCCCGTACAATTGCAGAGAGTATGGGCTGCCATGTATGCACATGTTTGCGGTATTGGTCCACAACATCAGGCCGGCACGTGGCAACGAGTTTGCGGGCGTCCAACATGTGGTTCAAGCCATGATCCACAGGTGTTACACTTCGGACGCATTGAAGGAGCTCTACAGCACGCAGATTTGCACTCTTGACCGCACTGAGGTCGTTCCAGATACAACAATAGAGGCACCAATATACCCAAAGAAGTCGGGGAGGCCACGCAACACTCGGTTGAGGTCCCATGGTGAGATTGATGGGAGGAAGTTGCGTAGATGTGGGAAGTGTGGGGAGAAAGGGCACAATAGAAAGACTTGTGATTTGCGCAAACAATTGAGAGACGCGTGGGAGGCACTTCACACTCCAGAAGGGCACATGAGTGTGCAAACAGCTACGCAAGCAGAGGCTCGAGTGAATGTGGTGATGTGTGGTGCATGCAATATAAGGCACCACAGGGATGTACTCTGCGAGCCTAGGAGGCAACCTCGTGAACATGAACAACCACAGAATGGGGTGGGGGTGGCGGACGGTAGCGCGACTCACGCAGCAGGTGGTGAGAATGAAGGTGTTGAGGTATCAGACGAGGAGGAGGACGTCAGTTCAGATTCGGAGGGGGAGAGAGAAGAGCAGCCAATGGATGCAGGTGCTGTTGTCCAACAGGCAGTCCCAACAGTACTCCGTGAAGTATTTGGCGAGGCATTTAACAGACTCAGCACCTCAGGAACCAACGGAAACATGCGCTCGGGGGGTGTGGGGTTATCAAATCCAACAGCAGCTGAGAATGGGGGATTGGGGGAGAGGGGAGGTGTATCCGAGAGTGGTGGATTGGGGGAGCGGGGAGGAGCGTCCGAGAGCGAAGCAGGAAGGGGAGGAGCAGGAGGGGGTGGGGCATGGAGGAGAGGAGCAGCAGAGAGTGGGGCGGGGACGGCAGGAGCAGAGAGTGGGGCGGGAAGGGCAGGAGCAGCTGGGATCGTGACAGGGAGGGGAGGAGCAGGGAGTGGGACGTGGAGGGGAGGAGCAGCAGGGAGCAGGGCAGGGAGGCCAGGAGCAGAGAGCAGGGCGGGAAGGGCAGGAGCAGCCGAGATCGTGACAGGGAGGGGAGGAGCAGGGAGTGGGGCGGGGAGGGGAGGAGCAGGGAGTGGGGCGGGGAGGGGAGGAGCAGGGAGTGGGGCGGGGAGGGGAGGAGCAGGGAGTGGGGCGGGGAGGGGAGGAGCAGTGAGTGGGGCGGGGAGGGGAGGAGCAGGGAGTGGGGCGGGGAGGGGAGGAGCAGGGAGTGGGGCGGGGAGGGGAGGAGCAGGGAGTGGGGCGGGGAGGGGAGGAGCAGGGAGTGGGGCGGGGAGGGGAGGAGCAGGGAGTGGGGCGGGGAGGGGAGGAGCAGGGAGTGGGGCGGGGAGGGGAGGAGCAGGGAGTGGGGCGGGGAGTGGAGGAGCAGGGAGTGGGGCGGGGAGGGGAGGAGCAGGGAGCGGGGCCGGGAGGGGAGGAGCAGGGAGCGGGGCCGGGAGGGGAGGAGCAGGGAGCAGTGGGGCGGTGAGGGGGGGAGCAACAGGGAGCGGGGCAGGGAGGGGAGGAGCATCCGAGAGCGGGGCAGGGAGGGGAGGAGAATTCGAGAGCGGGGCAGGGAGGGGAGGAGCATCCGAGAGCGGGGCAGGGAGGGGAGGAGCATCCGAGAGCGGGACAAGGAGGGGAGGAGCAGCAGGGAGCGGGGCAGGGAGGGGAGGAGCAGCAGGGAGCGGGGCAGGGAGGGGAGGTGCAGCAGGGAGCGGGGCAGGGAGGGGAGGTGCAGCAGCGAGCGGGGGGGGAAGGGGAGGAGTAGCAGGGAGTGGGGGGGAGAGGGGAGGAGCAGTGAGTGGGGCCGGGATGGGAGGAGCAGCAGGGAGTGGGGCGGTGAGGGGAGGAGCAGCCGAGAGCGGGGTAGGGAGGGGAGGAGCAGGGAGCGGGGCGGGAAGGGGAGGAGCAGCAGGGAGCGGTGGAGTGGCAGGTGAGATGGGATTTGACCACAACAATCCCACACTTGGTGATGCCTCGCAAAACAATGGTGACAATGTGGTTCGTTTTAGACTGAGGCGGATGCAACACGTTCGTCAGCAAAGACAAGTGGCTCCCGAACCAAGAAATAGGGATCAGAGGCCAGCGGCTGTGGTGGAGGAAGGAACAGGGGCGGACTCAGAGGCAACGGGCCATACAAACCATACCCCAGTACCTGATACACAAGAATCGACCGTTGTGGATAACCCAGAGGACCACAGCGGGGAAATGCGGGATGAACAACAGCGTGTGAAGTTGGGACAGAATCGACGCCGCCAGTTGAGAAGGTTGCAGATGCAGCAACGACATCAGAGACGGAAACAGCTGCAGGGTGTGACTCAGCAGGGACAGCAGCAGCAGCAGCAGCAGCCGGAACAGCAGCAGCAGCAACCGGGAGAGCAGGAGCGGCAGGGACAGCAGCAGCAGCAGCAGGGACAGCAGGAGCGGCAGGGACAGCAGGAGCGGCAGGGACAGCAGCATAGGCATCAGCAACAGGGACAGCAGGAGCGGCAGGGACAGCAGGAGCAGCATCAGCAGCAGGGACAGCAGGAGCGGCAGGGACAGCAGCAGCGGCAGGGACAGCAGCAGCAGCATGGACAGCAGCAGCAGCAGGGACAGCAGCAGTAGCAGGGACAGCAGGAGTGCCAGGGACAGCAGCAGCAGCAGTAGCAGGGGCAGCAAATGATGCTGCTCCTGCAGCAATTGCTGCAGAATGCGCAGCATGGAGGGCAGCAGCAGCAGGGAGAGCTACATGAGATTGGCCAGCCACAACAGCAGCATGGTGTTGGGCTACTTCTGGAGCAACTGCTGCAGGTATTGCGACAACAAACCCAAGACCAAAACCACCATCAGTGGCCTTAAACTCAGCAGCAGCAATGACAGGAGCATCTTTAACAAAGTAAAAACAACAGAACGATTGCAGCAGCAATGACAGGAGCAGCAGAAGACAGAGCAACGAATGCATCAGCAATAGCAGCAGCAACATGCAGGGTTGTGGTTGCATTCCTCTTCGCTGCAGCAACAATGGTGAACCTTGTGAAACTAGAATATGGTCTTGATTCATTGTTGACACATCACAACGTACGAAACAAAGCCTTGCCGACCACCTCCCACTCCCTGCAACCACTCCCTGCTCTCGCTCCATGCTTTCGGTTCCTGCTACAACTCCCTGCTCCCACTCCCTGTTGTGATCCTGTACTGAATGAGTGTCATGATTTTTTAGAAATTAGGGTGCAATGGAAACTTTGTGGTCTTTTTCTCCAGAATACATGTTGTGGTATTTGTTCATGGATGCATGTCATCACTCTAATGTGCAACTCTGAAAAGAACTATGTTATGAAAATGAGCCATTGTTGTTTCACATCAGAAATATATCACACACCACCACCTTGTAGCAAGCACACCACCCTATCCTTACCCACAACTACGCATTCTTTATTCAGCAGGGGGATCACACCTTTTCATTATTGTTGCTAAGTTGTTTGTATTCTCTAAAGGTGCTAATTTCCTCTATTTCCTGCATGTTTGTACTTACCCGTATATCACGTATCTCAATGCAAGGACCGCTAGAGAGAGAGAGGGAGAGAGAGAGAGAGAGAGAGAGAGAGAGAGAGAGAGAGAGAGAGAGAGAGAGAGAGAGAGAGAGAGGGAGAGAGCGAGAGAGAAAGAGAGAAAGAGGGAGGGAGAGAGAGAAAGAGAGAGAAGGAGGGAGGGAAGGAGAGATGGACGGCAAGAAGAGAAGGATGACGAGGAGGAAGAGGAGGAGGGGAAGGAGAAGGGGAAGGAGAAGGGGAAGGAGAAGGGGAAGGAGAAGGGGAAGGAGAAGGGGAAGGAGAAGGGGTAAGAGAAGGGGGAGAAGAAAGGGAAGGGGAAGGAGAAGGGGAAGGAGAAGAGGAAGGAGAAGGCATGGAATTTGAATACCAAACGGTCAATAAACTACAAAAGGAAGGAGAAGGGGAAGGAGAAGGGGAAGGAGAATGCATGGAATCTGAATAACAAACGGTCACTAAACTACAAAGGGAAGGAGAAGGGGAAGGATAAGGGGAAGGAGAAGGTGTAAGAGAAGGGGAAGGAGAAAGGGAAGGAGAAGAAAAAGGGGAAGGAGAAGAGGAAGGAGAAGACATGGAATTTGAATAACCAACGTTCTCTAAAGTACAAAGGGAAGGAGAAGGGGAAGGAGAAGGGGAAGGAGAAGGGGAAGGAGAAGGGGTAAGAGAAGGGGAAGGAGAAAGGGAAGGGGAAGGAGAAGGGGAAGGAGAAGGGGAAGGAGAAGAGGAAGGAGAAGGCATGGAATTTGAATACCAAACGGTCACTAAACTACAAAAGGAAGGAGAAGAGGAAGGAGAAGGGGAAGGAGAATGCATGGAATCTGAATAACAAACGGTCACTGAACTACGAAGGGAAGGAGAAGGGGAAGGAGAAGGGGAAGGAGAAGGGGAAGGAGAAGGGGGAGGAGAAGGTGTAAGAAAAGGGGAAGGAGAAAGGGAAGGAGAAGAAAAGGGGAAGGAGAAGAGGAAGGAGAAGACATGGAATTTGAATAGCCAACGTTCACTAAACTACAAAGGGAAGGAGAAGGGGAAGGAGAAGGGGAAGGAGAAGGGGAAGGAAAAGGGGAAGGAGAAGGGGAGGGAGAAGGGGTAAGAGAAGGGGAAGGAGAAAGGGAAGGGGAAGGAGAAGGGGAAGGAGAAGGGGAAGGAGAAGAGGAAGGAGAAGAGGAAGGGGAAGGAGAGAGAGAGAGGGAGAGAGGGAGAGAGAGAGAGAGAGAGAGAGAGAGAGAGAGAGAGAGAGAGAGAGAGAGGGAGAGAGAGAGGGAGGGAGGGACAGGGAGAGAGAGAGAGAGAGAGAGAGAGAGAGAGAGAGAGAGAGAGAGAGAGAGAGAGAGAGAGAGAGAGAGAGAGAGAGAGAGAGAGAGAGAGACAAGGAGAGGTGAGAGAGAGAAAGAGAGTTATAGAGAGAGAGAGAGAGAGAGAGAGAGAGAGAGAGAGAGAGAGAGAGAGAGAGAGAGAGAGAGAGAGAGAGAGAGAGAGAGAGAGAGAGAGAGAGAGGGGAGGGGAAAGAGAGAGAGTGAGAGAATTGTTCAATGGAAGCCATTTATATCGCTCTCAGTACTTTAGTGCCCTTTTTCTTGATACCTGTAGCCCCATCTATGCGTTTATGTGGCGTTGTCTAGTTTTGAGATGAATCGCAATTGATTTGCATATGTAATCAGTCGTCTGTGCGTAGAACGTGTCAAATATGTTCATGGTTAGCCACTCATACCACTCTCAGTTGTATGAAGCCCTTTTTGATTTATTTACAACCGTTTCTTAATACCAATCGATCCAACGATGTGTCTAGGTGAGGCTGTCCGGTTTTGAGATGAGTCGCAAATGATTTGCATAGGAAATCATGCGTTTGTGCCTGGAAGGGGTCAAAATTGCTTGCGGATAGCCCTTCCTATCACCTCTGCAATTTTGGGCCCTATATTCTTTATACCTCCTATTTATTAATACTAATAGCCCCGACTATGTGTCTAGGTGAGGCTGTCCGGCTTGGACATGAATCGCAATTGATTTGGATAGGTAGTCAAGCGTTAGTGCGCATAAGGGGTCAAATGTGTTACAAGAAAGCTAATTTTATCACTCTCAGCTGACTAGGGCCTTTTTTTTATACCAATCGATCCTACTATGTGTCTAGGTGAGGTTGTCCGGTTTTGAGATGAATCGCAATTGATTTTCATAGGTAATCAAGCCTTAGTGTGCATAACGGGCCAAAGCTGTTCAAGTATAGCCATTCATATAACCTCTGAAGTTTATAGCTCCCGTTTACTAATACCAATAGCTCCGACTATGTGTCTTGGTGAGGCTGTCAAGTTTGGACATGATACGCAATTGATTTGGATAGGTAATCAAGTGTCGGTGCGCATTTGGGGTCAAATGTGTTACAAGAAAGCTAATTTTATCACTCTCAGCTGACTAGGGCCCTTTTTTTTTTTTAGCCCGGTTTCTTGATACCTATAGGCCCAACTATGTGTCCATCTATACCCGTTTCTTAATACCACAAGCCAATAATGTGAATCTAGGAGTTGCTGCCCAGTTTTGAAATCAATCGCATATGACTTGCGTTTGTTGAAGGAATTTGGCCCCGCCCTCGCATGGGCAAAACTGACTTCGTGGTCGGGTGTGCGGGAGGTGCAGCCGACCTTTTGCAGGTGTACGAGGGTTGCTTATACACGAGGTGTACTTGGGAATCCATGCAAGAGTAACTTAAGCATCCGCGAGTGCAACACAGAAGTCTCGTGCACATGTACAAGTGGCGCAACTCGTACAAAGGTTCGCGGGTGTTCGTCTGTGCAGGGTCGCGTCTGACCCTCCGCACCCTTGAGACTGCACAGGCGAATTTTGGCCAGAAATTCAAATGTGCCCTAATTTCGACCAATCAGGAGCTGGCATTTTGAAATGTCAACCGAGGTGTTCAACGAAGGTGCTCGACGAAGGTCGTCAACCCGCGACGACGAAGGTCCTCGAACCGCGACGACGAAGATCATCCTCCTGGAGGGTTGTCAAGGACTTTACCTTGTTGACCGAGTTACCTGCTCGACGAGGTTCTGCGGAGGGTCGCGAACGTCGTCGAGGTTGCTGTGGTGAAGTCGACCGACGTGGCAGCACGTGGTCGACGTGGCTCATCAAGTGCAACCGTCAGCATGTGGCTGACAACCTGCGCAATGTGCTCGACAATGCACATCGTGCAAAACTGTCTACAAGCACCTGCGAAGTAGGTGCTCGCACATGCGCTTACAATCACCTGCGGATGCAGTGCTGGCAAGCCGCGCGGATGCAGCATTAGCAAGCCGCGCGGGTGCAACATTGGCAAGCCGCGCGGGTGCAGCGTTTGCAGGCCGCCATTCTGCAGCGTTGGCAAGTCGCACACAAGCTGCGTTGGCGGGCCGTGGAGATGATATGTTGGCAGGTCGACGACTCTGTCGTCCTGGCGAACGACCTGCCTGAGCACTAGCAAACCTTGCACGTGCTCTAGTCAATCTTTGCCATTGCTTGCTAT